TTTCATAAGAATGAACACTTTCCTACTAAGATCAGAAAGTCTTGCTTGTAATACTTTAACATTGTTCTTGGGATTTTGAAAAAATTAGATTAAAATTGAGAACCCAAACTCACTGTCATTACATTGATTCTGATTCTTGTGACCTTCCATTGGACTTTTGAGGCTGTGACTCCTTACAGGAGAGACTACACATCTCCCTCCTGTGGGAGGGCTAGTGGATTGGAGATGCCAGCCTTTTGGTTAGCATTCTGACACTCATGTCATCAGAGCTTTGTCTTTATTCATAGATGACATGATCATCTGTGTAGAAATTATGATGGAATCGATAAAATAGCTACTAAGAACAGTAATGAATTTTGCAAGGATGCAGGATCAAACAGTTATACAATTTCAGTTATTTTTCTATCTACCAAACCTTAGTCCATTGCAGGATTTCTGAGGTTGTAACTCTTAGGACTTGGTTCAGTTTGCCGTTGAGTCTCTGAGGCCGTAAATCTTAACAGGAGCAGACTGCTCATATTTCTCCATTAAAGCAGCTGATAGATTCATACTACCAAACTTCAGCTAGCAACCAAGCATGTAATGTACTATGCTACTTACAAGAGCTTCTTTTATTTTTAACCTAACAACGAGCAACCAGAAATTGGAATTAAAAAAATAAAACTACATTTATTGCCAGAATAAATGACATACTTGAGAATATATGAAGTACTTAAAGATGTATGAGACCAGTATAGTAAAAATTGCAAGACGTCCTGGGTAAAATTAGAATACTACAATGAGTGGCAAAATATACCATGCTCATGGATAAGAAGACACTGAAATAACATTTTTCTTCAGTTCTGTGTATTCAACACCATCCCACCAGGTGGTGGTGGTGGTTTGTGGGTTGTTGGTTTGTTTTTTTTTTTTAGATGTAGACAAACTGATTTTAAAATTTATATAGGAATTGAATAGATTTAGGATAGCCATTACCTAGTTTAAAGACTACTACATTGTTGTTAGTCAGCATTTGGTCGTTTTCTACTCGCAGCAAATAAATGTACAACAGAATGAAGTGTTCCCTTGTCCTGTTCACCATGAGTATAGGTGTGTTGAGGTTCAGTGTTGTAGCCACTGTGCTTATTTTTCTGTATCAGACCATATTATTATTATGATATATGGAATTTTAATTGTTGGGTTTTGTTGGTTTCTTTTCCCCTGAAAGCAGATTGCCAAATCTCTCTTCCTAGTCTTTCTGAAATGACTGCTGAAACTTGTCCACCTTTTGTGTCCCTGGTGATATACACTGGTGTCATAGTTTCCAGCCTCATAGCACTCTGTAAGCCACTACACTACAAAGAGCTAATAGACAGCTGGTGGAAAGACTATTGTTAAAGGTATTGTGATCAAGTATCTGTTGCTAAAATAATGATAGACAAAAGAGATCAACCTTGAGGGTCAGGAGGAATAGGTTTACATATGTAGTAGCTGCTTGACTTTTGATACAATCCCAAAGGCAACTTAACTGAAAAAGTGTATTTTTCAAAAAATGGTGCTGGCTCAATTGGATAACTATAGGCAAAACAATGAACTTTACCAAAAAATGACACCATACACAAAAGTGAAAACTAAAAGTTACCTTTTTGCCATTGAATCAGAATTGACACATAGCGGACTGGTGGCTTTTCAGGCTGTAATTCACATAGGAGGAGATTGCCCACCCATCTTTTCCATGTAGCAGCTAGAGGATTCAGCTAATTGACAGGGAAACACTCTAGCCACTCGGCTACCAGAGCTTTCTTACAGAAAATTAATAAACAAATATGAAGGGCTTAAAACTAGAAAACTTACAGGAGATAATATAGGAAAAAGTCTTTTGTGACCTTGGATATGACCTATAAAAGAGAAATACTGATATTTCAGAAAAAATGAGAACTTTTTGTTCTTTTGAAGATTGAGAGAATAAATTGATAATTAATAGGCTGGAGAAAATATCTGTAAATCACACCTGTTAAAGGACTTCTATCCAGAATATGAAAAGAACTTGCCAAACTCAATAATAAGAAAGCAACCAATCAGTGAAGCAATGAACAAAAGATATAAAGAGGCCTTCACCCAGGGATTTATAAATGGATGACAAGTAAGCACATGCAAATATACTTAACATAATGTTTTCATTGTTGTGTGCTGTCAAGTTGGAACCCACTCATAGCTGACCCTCCAAATAGGTTTTCAGAGTCTGTAAATTGCAAGGAAGGAGATTGCCCATCCTTCTGTGAACTACATGCTCTTGAGATTGCAGCACAGCTTCTTATCACTAGGTCCTATTGTTATGTGCCTTGGAGTTGACTATTTGTATACTGTCTATATACACTATCTCACTGACACAGGAAGATTTAAAAGTATTTTATGACAATTTTATTTTAGTTCAGATTTAAGCTTTTCCCATTAAGATAAAAGATGGTATATGTACAATTAGCATAATACTTCTTATCCAAAAATAAACACTGTATTTTTTTCTTTTGTTGTTGCTTTATCATCAGAGGCTGGCAAGCAAAATAAAATAAAAACCACAGCTATAAAATTGACTTTAATTCTATAGGAGAAAGACAACTACTCTTAGCGTTTTCAAGGTTAAATTGTCTATGGAATAGAATCTTAGTGCCATAGTGTGTAACATGCCACCCTGGTAACCAAAGAGTTCAAATCCACCAGCTGCTCTTTGGAAGTAAGATGTGCTGTCTCTTCCTATAAAGATTTACAGCCATGGAAACCTGAAAGAGGTTTGCTGTAAGGGACCTAGAGTATTGATTATATCATGGACTGCTGGGAGAACAAACAGGTCAGTTCTGGAGAGGGTGAAACCAGACAGCTCCTTGGAGGCAAGGCTTCTGAAACTCCATCTGGCATATTTGAGCATGTAGACAGGAAGAACCATCCCTGGAGGGGTGGGACATCATGCTTGGAAGGGTGGAGGTACAGTATAAGAGAGGAAGACCCTGTGTGAGATTGATTGATGGGGGTAATGCGGATAGGTGTGTTAGAGACAATAGGTTGGCTTCGATAGAGCAGGGTTCAGAGCTGTTGGACATAGGGTTGCTGAGTCGAAGTCAACTTGAAGGCACGTAATAGGATCTAGTGGTAAATCTGCAAATAATTTCTGGCTAAACTATATAAGGTAGAATTTATTAATGTACATATTTTTAAATAAGAAACTTAAAATTTATTTTATTATTTTCTAGAGGAAGTAAGTCTAAGTGGTGTCTGCATTTGCTAGCCATTTTTTAGTTTATATTCTGTGTTATTCCCAAAAGGTTTTAGGACAGTTACTAAATATGTATGTTAATTTGTAACCAGAATAATTGAAGAATAGTTTATCTTGGTTCCCATTAAGTATTAACTAGAATGGAAACTTTATGAAGGCAGGACCTTGCATATTTTCTTCATGTGGTTTCTTAAAAGAGAGCAGGATGTGTCAAAAGAGAAAAGATTATGCAAGCTTGCCTACCTGTTACACTTTTTCTTTCCCACTTGGAATTTATTAAAATTTATGTAAAGTTGTAAATTTTTAAAATCCCAGGATTTGCAGTCACCTCTGCCATTTGCTATCTATGCAACTTTGGCAAATTATATAACTTTCTTATTTCTCTGCTCTGTCATATAGGGACAGTTATGTCACCTACTTAGCATGATTGCTGTGAAGAGTAAATGAATGACTATAATACCTATAAATCACTTAGAATAGTGATGGACTAGCTTGGTGCATAAAGCCTCAATAAATGCTAATTGTTATTTTTAAGGTTTTTATGAGAGTTAAATTACATGGGATTATGCATATAAAATGTTTAGCAGCGTATCTGGCATTTATTAAGAGTTCAGTGATTGCTAAATCCCTCCAATTGCCACCCATTTGGCTCCAACTTAGAGAGAACCCCTTCTGGGTTTCTGAGGCTGTAAACATATGTATTTTTAAAATTTTCTACTAGTTTATTTACAAAATTCAAATACATTGTTTTTAAGAACAAATTCTTTCAATTTCCCTCCCCCGTTCCCATCAAATTGTACAACCCCATGATTAATCCCCACTCCCCCTGTACATCCTCATCCCTCTGATTCCACTCTCTTCCACCCCTCTTGAATCCTTGTACTCATTCTGCAATAATGGTTTTATTTATTGTATTTATCCTGTGGGACTAAGTTAGTTTATTTGGCATAATACTCTCCAATCCCTCCCAAGTTAGGTAATAATTTACAAGATCATTGCTTCTCCATGCTGCATAGTATTCCATTGTGTGAATGTACCATAATTTCTGAATCCATTTTTTTTGTGGTTAGACATTTAAGATTTTTCCATGTTCTTGTTCCTGGGCCTCCACAAGAAAATGACTGATAACCTAATTATAAAATGGGCAAACAATATGGGAAGAATTTTCACAGAGGAAGATTTTCAAATGGCAAACAGACACATGAAAAAATGTTCTAAATCACTAGCACTGAGAGATGCAAATCAAAACCACAGTGAGGCTGTGAATCTTGATGGAAGGAGACTTGCCCAGATTTCTCATGTGTAACAGCTGGTAGATTTGAACCACTGACCTTTTGATTAATATTCTGATAAGTTAAAGACAATGCCAGCAGAGTTCAATAAATGCTAGTGACTCTAAATATTGAAGTTTCTGTATGCCCAATAAGATTATGCTTTTTAATTTCTGCATATGCCATTTCTTCAGTGAATTTATTTGAGGGCATGAGTGAAGACCATTAGTTTTTATGCCCCCCCCCACAATAGGCAAATACTATAAAGTTAAAAATGTTTGCAAATGATGTGTAATTATTTTCTTCTTTCAAAGTTTAGGGCGTTTATTAGATCTCTCCCTGCAAATTCATGTTTATTTTTATTGCTACAGAAGTACAGATATTGATTATAATAACAATTTAGTAATTTTCTATCAAAAAGCCTATCAGTATTTCTAACCTGTTTTCCCTCTTCTTTTTAAAAATGTTATCCCCTGTTACAGGTTTGTGGAATCTTGCTTCTCTCTTTTCCAACCTTTGTTTATTTGTGTTGATGCCCTTTGCCTTTTTCTTTCTGGAATCAGAAGGTTTTGCTGGCCTGAAGAAGGTAAGGGAATCATGTTTTGGAATGAAATTTGTTAAATGAAAAAGTAAATGTGCATATTGAACTGTAAAAGTTGGCTTATTTGAGGGGGGGAAGCATTAATAATAGTGCATAAAATTGACAATACATTTTAAGTATTAATAATGCTATCAGTAATATTCATGCTTTAATATTGAGTTATTATGCACATCTCCAAAGTCCCTTTTGTCATCTTTTAGTATTTTCAATATGGACCGGTGGCCTCACAGTAAAGAGCTGTGTGGGCAACCCAAAAGCACATGATTCAAAGCCATCAGCTTATCCACTCCTCTGCAGGAGAGAGATGGGCAGTCTCTTCCAGTGTGATTTACCACCTCTGAAAACCCACTAAAGGGTCAGCTATGACACAGTTCTGACTCAACACTACGTAACAACAACCAAATGAACAAACTTTTATATTTCTTTCTGTAATATTTGAACTTGATATAGTAGCTGTTGTTCCTGTCTTTGGGTATTCCATTTTTGCTTAAACCATTACATGAAAATGTTAAAATCTTAAAATATATCTTGAAGATAAAAATAATTTCCTACTCAATCTTTGCTGGATGAAGCATAAACTTACTGTCTTTGAGTCCATTTTTGACTCACAGCTGGCCCTCCAGTGTGTTTCCATGGCTATAAATTCCAACAGAAGAAGATTGCCCATTTTTATCCTGTGGAACCTCTGGTGGATTTGAACTGCTGGAAAGGCAAGACCTTTCAGTTAACAGCACAACTTGCTATGTATGGGCTATGACCTTAAGAAATAATGAAATAATTAATGAAATAATTTTACTTTTCAAAGAGAAGAGTGATCTGGGGGACGGGGTGGGCAGTGAGAAAAATGCAACAGTGAATGTATGGAAATCTAAAATCTCTGTAAACCTTCATTAAAATTAATTTTAAAAAAGTTTAAAATGCTTCCATTTTCTGTTTGAACTCCCAAGATACTGTGAATTACTAATCTTAGGTGAGTGTGGGAGGTTCAGAAGTAAGCAAACTGGGAGAATTTGAAAAAGAATTTTAAAAAAGTTAATCAGTACTTTACAAGGTGGTAAACCTTAATTACCTTTGTACTATTTTAAATTGGAAGCACAAAATTTCTATATGATATGTGAAGGTCTTTTTATACATTTGAAAAGTATATTGTAAAATTTAAGTACGTACTCTTTGAATGACTTTAAACTTGTCAAAATAAATTTTATTGTTAAGTAATTTAGTTGTAGACACATTATGCCTTTTCTATTTTTAGTTCTATTAATATTTTGACATATAAAGTGTGCCTGTATATCTTGTTATTGAATTATTCTCTAATGCCAGCTAAACAAATTAGTCATGAGAAGTTGTGAATTGTGTGTAAATTATTTTTATTTTCTACTTTGGAGTCTTAGGAAAAAAAATTGTTTAAGAAAACATTTTAGTAACTCTTCTGATTTTAAATATTAATTATAATGTACTTAAATCTATACATCAAAGAAATCAGTAAAAGAATAAATAAAAGTTACTTCTATAGAATTTTAGAGCCAGATTTTTTAATAATCAATTAGTGAAAAGTTTACTAAGCACTTATAAGAGGTCATTTTGGAGTCCCTGGCTGGTGCAGGTGATAATACACTGAGATGCTCACCATTAGGTTGGAGGTTCAAGTCCACATAGAGATACCTCGAAGAAAAGTCCTGGTGATCATCCTCCTAAGAGAAAACCATTGAAAAGGCTTTTGAGCACCAGGTTCTATTCAAAGAAGCTCAGGGACACCAGAAGCAAGAATCACCTTCATGGCAAGTGGCTTTAAGAAATAATTTTGTCATTTTGACAACTTCCTGTAACCCAAATAAAAGGTAAAGGGTTCCTGCCTCTCGAGTGGTTGCATATTTTAAAGTATAGGAGATTTTTTAATCTGTTGATGCATACTGATGGAAAGAATTTGGTAGAAAAAAGATTTAACATAAAAAGATAAGCAAGTTTGCTTTTCTAGTTAGATTGCCTGGGATACCTGGACAAATTACTTTAATCCATCTATATTCCAAGTTTTCCTTTTGCAAAATGGGCATACTAATGGCAGTTATGATATTATTTTACAGATCACATATGAGATGGACTATGTATGTGGACCACATAACTTAGAATTTCACTTGGTAAATTTATAGCTATTATTTTAAAGGTGGTTTGTAAATGTATTTGGGTAATAAGTAGTTTGGGAAGCCTCAGTACTATATCATCAGGAAATAACTGAATACAGCATAGTTAGCTCTTAATCACATAGTATTATCTTAAGTAATTTTAGAATTACATTTTTTCCATTTTAAAAATTACTTGTATTGAAGCAGAATAAATCAGCCTCACACTAGAGATAACATAGATTGAAATAAACCTAAGGTTTTATTTTAGACTCCACTGGTAGCCTTGTGGCAAGAAGCTGTGCTGCAATCCCAAAGGCACATGGTTCAAATCCACCAGCTGCTCCACATAAGAAAGATGGGCAATCTCCTCCTGTGTGATTTACTCCCTCTGAAAACTCGCTGGAAGGTCAGCTATGGGTCTATTCTGACTCCCTGACACACAACAGCAGAAACATTTAGAAAGCTTTAAAATTCAAGTAACCATGGCATGTTATTTAAAAATAGTCATTGTTGTTGTGTACTGTTGAGTCAGAACCGACCCAGAGCTGACCTTCCAGCAGGTTTTCAGAGGCGGGAAATCACACAGGAGGAGAGTGCCTGTCCTTTTCCCAGGGAGCAGCTGGTGGATTAGAACTGTGTCCCTTTGGGATTGCAGCACAGCTTCGTACAACTAGGTAACCAGAGCGCCCTTTAAAAAGTCATAGTTTTCCATTTTAAAATCAGTTACATTAAAGTTAAAAGAGTTTTTTAGCACTATGTCAAGAAGCTAATTACTTAAAATTAAAGTTTGAGCGTTATATGAGGTGTCTTTATATAACACAAGATCATTTGTTCTTTACTTGTGCAGATCCCAATAATGTTTCTTGAGATATATTGTACTTTGCCCAATACTATAGACTGTATTGAAATGATTAACCTTACCTGCTTCACTCTGTTAACGTTTTAACAGAGAACAATAATTTTAAATGATTGGGACTAGCAAGAGTGTATTTGTGTGTATAAGAATATATGGTATATACTTTCAAAGTTATTTGCTCATTGGTTAAGTCTGACATGTCCAGTGTTTGAGGTGATACTAAAGAGAAATTGGGAAACACTTCTAATTGGTAGGTGACATAGAGTAATTTGAGTAACTACAAACTTGTAATATGGGTAAGTTAAATTTCCTTATTTTCTTTTGACCACCCTCCTGGTACTGTTTTACTATGTCTAAGTCTGGTGTATTCCCTAAATGGCATATGGCCCCTCCATACTCCAGTTGATTCCCCTGGGCAATCGATTTTAAAACAGCTCCTTGCATATTGTGCTGAGATGCGGAAATTGGCCACTAGCCATGGGCGGATGCAGAGCTTGAATTGAAAATCAAATTAAGCAGAATTTTCTACTTAGTTTTTAATTAAAACACTATGTTAATTCAAACAGGACATTTTAGGCCTAGGGGGTTGACCAGGTCTTTGTTTTAAGGGCCTTAAATAGGCTTTCTTTTCTCTCACTCCTCACTAAGGTGCATGTTTCTATTTTATTAGGACCATCTCTTCACCATTCCCTCTATTTAGAATTTTCAAGTACAATAGCATATGTGATTTTGAGAAAATAGATATTTTCTAGTAGTAAAGCAACCTTTATCTTAGAACTCTGATTTATTTTTTAGCAGCTAAATATTTACCAATTTTCAATTACTTTACTGTCACCTGCATGTATTCTGTTGAGCTCTGTTTATGTTCTTGTATGACTAGACCTGATCCTATGCTTATGCTTTTAATTTTCAGCTCTGTTACAAAAATTGATTAGCTGGTTTTAACTGTGTTATTTTGCTGTAGAAATATTTTCTTCATAATTTCTAGTACTAGTAACTATCAACTATATGCCATAGTATTTAGGTTTTCAGTCAAGCCATCCACTGACAGAGTTGCTGTTAATATTCTTCAAACCAGCTGCATAATTTTGTCTCCTTTTTTTGCTTCAGAAAGATTTCTAGATTATCTGGGATAAGTATCAGAAAATATCTCCCTATTTCATAGTGAACTTGAAAGTCCATATTATGTCTTCGCATCTGACTTGAGGTGTAAATGTTAGGAAGGAAGTTTCCAACAGCTAAAGTGGAAAAAAAATCCACCATATGATTGTTACAAATGTTTAATGACAGATTAATTCATAGGCTGAAGATTTTTCTGGGAGTCAGTTTATATTTTATTCACCTTGATACTTATTTTTGATTTGAAGTCATGGCATAAAATTTAACATAAGCGACAGCAAACATCCTGACCAATTATCCAGACTATCCAGACATCCCAGAATGTTCTGAACATAACACACGGTCTGTAGGATTAAGAGGTTAACTCCTATAACTTCAAACAAAGTGCTTAATAATAAAAGCAAAAAGTAGAAAATTTGAGGTAACTTCCTTTCTTAATTAATTAGACTAACCAGGTGGAAGCGAAGAGTTCTGTGCTGGTGCTTGGAATGTCTATAAAGCTGAGCAACGTGACAGCACAATGGAGGAGGAACAAAGATTTTTTTAATATGTTTCTATCCTGTGTCACAGTTTGAAATTGTCCTGGTTTATGTCCCTTTTGGCAAACTTACATAAAAGTGACCTTGTACTGTATTTTATGACCAGATGACTTTTTCCCCCCCAGTGACTAATTTGTATCAGGCCTCCATCTGAAAGAGACATAGAAATGAGAAGGAAGTCCAAGCCTCTGTCTCAGGGAGCTTTCATTGCATTCTTTCATTATTTTTGCTCGTTTTTGCCACTGATCATCCATAAATTGTTGGAAATGAGTGATTAAGGAAGTGCTGCTTAGTGTTAGTGGCACATGCGCATATTTGGCATGGTTTCTGTGGGTGAGAGGAAATCACATA